CACAACCCCCACTCACACCCCACACACACACACCCCACACCACCCCCAACAGGATTCACGATCCACGCCGTGACGGGTGCCCCAGCTCTGACCGAGTGGACTCAGTGGAGACGTTTGGATCTGCGATCCGACGCAATGTCGCAGCAGGAGTCGTACTCCACGTGGCTCATCATGCTCTTCGCTCTCACGGCGCCAGCAGCCACAGGTAACAACACAAAGACAAAGGTCCCCACCCCCCGAGTATAGCCTTGACAGGGTCTTTGGGACAAGTGCTGTCGGCGAATAGCACCTTGCAAACGCGTGGTGTGGGTAACGCTCCCCAAATGGCGATGTTTTTATATACCCGCACCAGGGGACGATTGTTTTAGGGCCGAGTGAACCTAGAGGAAGCCCAGATTCGGTGTTCGGTGTGCACTGTCACTTGTTGTTGATGTTCAACGGGGATCGAACTCTCGAGTCGGTGCGCAAACCACGACGCCACCACTCCACGTGCACAAGGCAAGGACAAAGATCCCCCATATAGCCTCAACAGACTTGGGACAAGTGCTGTTTGCGAGCTCCGATGAAGACAAACGACGTGGTTGGGTGGTCAGCACCACGCCCGGCCGCCTTTGTCTCCCCAGTGGTGATGTTAACACACCGCACCAGGCACTGTACTCATTTGAGGCTGAGTTGACCTCGGGGAGGCCCAGGACCGGTTCAGATCAAAATCCCCCGGTGTTGGCCGTGAGCGGGAGTCGAACTCGTGCCGCCGGGTTCAACGGTAACCGTTTCGACAATCGGTTACGCAGTTTAACACGCAGGAGGCTTTCGCGACCAATATCATCCATAATAGAGCGGGTTTTTTGGGTTTGATCGCGTAAATATATAAATGTGTCGGTAAAACCCGCCACCACCCGACATAGCCAACTTGTAAGGGTTGTCACGTCAACAGAACGTGGCCAATTCGTCACTAGTACAGCACTAGTGTATAGTGTAGTGTATAGTGTAGTGTATAGTGTAGTGTATAGTAGTGTATAGTGTAGTGTATAGTGTAGTGTATAGTGTAGTGTATAGTAGTGTATAGTGTAGTGTATAGTGTAGTGTATAGTGTAGTGTTGTAGTGTATAGTGTAGTGTATAGTGTAGTGTATAGTAGTGTATAGTGTGGTGTATAGTGTAGTGTATAGTAGTGTATAGTGTAGTGTATAGTAGTGTATAGTGTAGTATACTAGTACAGCGCACCGGTTGTGTGTTGGAGAGCCAAGCCACAACATTTACAATCCGAGCACGACGTTTCGCCAGTAATTACAACCAGCTTCATCAGGCGACAGCCAGATTTGTGGAGAAGTCCACCTGTTTCGTTCCTTATATAGAGGCGTAGATGTGGTGACCACGCTTCTGTGCTCTTGCGCAAAGTGGGGGGGAGGGAGGGATTACTGAGTCAACGTACATTATGCGAGCCCTTTGATCTTATATATTTACGCGATCCAACCCAAAAAAAACCTCCATTATGGATCCTTCTATCCTACTCGGCGCGCGACCTGGCTCCACCCTCCCTTCTCGAACCCACGAGCGGGTTCCAGGGGCTTCCAGGGGGGGGGGGTCTCTGATGACTGTTGTCACATTGTATTTTATAGCTTTATTTTGGTGATTTCGAAAACATGCTTAAGCCATTTTCTTGTGGAAGCGTGGAGTTGGCCTGATAACTTTAATCGAAATTGGCTTATGGTTACATTTCGATTAAAAGCTTTTGGGACTGCAGGGATTCATATTATTGGTTCTTTCGGTAAAGTCACGTAGAAGGGAATAATATTGTTTGATTTTCATTATTTCCCTTCTACGTGACTTTACCGAAAAAAACAATAATGTCTTATGGTTGTTATTGTTTGACTTGCATCACACTGGGATTTTTGCACACAGCGTTGTCATACGGTGGGCTTTTTTTCTGGAAGACTTTGCTGGTTTATCCAGGATGTCTCTGTTGCACGTCATCGCTTTAAGATGTTCTCTGTTCATATTTTGTTTGTTGCGGTTGCACCCGACTCAAGAGCCGCATGGCTCACCAGCAGAGGTTGCAAACGGGTTTTGATTTCTTACCCGTACCTGTACCCGGCCGCACCAGGGTCGCAAATGGCGACCCGTACCTGTACCCGGCCGGGTACGGGTACCTGTTCCCTACCCGTACCCGACCCGAAATGAGTGACAAACGGTTACTCACCAGTGACTCACGGCCTACCCGTACCCGTACCCGGCCGAACCAGGGTCGCAAACGGGTACCCGTACCCGGCCGAGTACGGGTAGCCCGGTATCGGGTAGGGTACAGGTATCGAGTACCCGGTTGCGACCTCTGCTCACCAGGGCTATACCTAATAAATGAAACTTGAAACTTGAAAACTTGTCTCTGTGACCCTTGCCCCAGTTCCTCCGCCCTGCCGCACACACAGCCGCGTCAGTGATCACCGGCGCGTGTGCTGTTTGTCCACCGCAGTTGCCGCTACTGGACAACAGACGGCACTATTACACTACGCACGTATTTCTCAGAACCATGTTCGGTCAGACAAGGGAGGGGGGTAGTAACATGATGATAACAAAATTCAATAAGTAATATTTTTAAAAACTTTTTTAAAAACACGCTTTAATTAAATGTACTGTACTAGTAATGGAAGAACTCCACGACTCCAGGAAGTGGCCCCGAAGCTTGCCATCACGTAAGGGGCCGTGGTGATTTACAGACAACGTCAGTTGAGCGTGGACAAATACACCCAAGCCGAAAATAACATATAAAAAAGAATGTTTTAAAATATATGTTTTTCATTTTTTTATGATAGAATATAGTATCGTCATCAGTATGATATAAGTATACCAAGTTCGCAGTCGATACCACATTGGGAAGTGGGTTAAAATTGAGTTTCAATATTTGAGCATATGAAAACAGACAGAGTGAGTTAAATAAAAGCGTGTAAATAAAAGCATGTAAAAAGGGGGGTTCAAGTTCAAGTTCATGTATTAGGTATGGCCCTGTGAGCCATTCGGCTCTTGAATCGGGTGCAACCGCAACCGACAAAAAACACGAACAAAAAACATCTTACAGTGAATATGTGACTGAGTGCAAACAGAAAATCCAAGAAAAGACAGCAAAATATTGCAGGAAAAAAATCACCGTACACCAACGCTGTGTGCAAAAATCCCAGTGGGATGCAAGTCAAACAACCAACAACAACCACAAGACAACTTAGATTAAGGCCATCAATCTAACTCTGTACTACAACAAACAAACATGGCTAAACCAATACACTTTTCGAAATCACCAAAATAAAGCCATGAAAGCAATGAAACAGTGATCATAGGAACTGGCAGTAGCCAGCTAATGTTTGAGACCAGTGGCTTACACCACCAACGACACTCGACACAATTACACTGCTGCTGTATTTAGCCAGAGACAGGTTTTTTTTTGCTTACGTCAAAATATAAACCCCAATCGTTTCAACTGTCACGTGGCTGAGAAAGGGGTTGAACCGGCGACTTCTGGGTGGGACCGCTATCACACCCCACAGATGTGGCAGCTTCTTTTTCGATTTAAAGCTTTCGTGACTGCAGGGATTCATCTTCTTGGTTCTTTCGGTAAAGTCACGTAGAAGGGAAGTAATAAAATAATAAAATAAAACAATAAAATAAAATAATAAAAATAAAACATAATAAAATTTCGATTTAAAGCTTTCGTGACTGCAGGGATTCATCTTCTTGTTTATTTCGGTAAAGTCACGTAGAAGGGAAATAATAAAATAATAAAAATAAAACATAATAATTCTCACGACGTTTCGGCCACAACGCAAGCAGCCGTCCTCAGTCGCCTGAGGACGGCTGCTTGCGTTGTGGCGGAAATGTCGTGAGAATTATTTTATTATGTTTTATTATTTTATTAGGCGACTGAGGACGGCTGCTTGCGTTGTGGCCCGAAACGTCGTGACAATTATTTTATTATGTTTAATTATGTTATTACATCCCTTCTACGTGACTTTACCGAAAGAACCAAGAAGACGGCTTCTTTTTGTTTCTCAGTTCAAAAGGTTATCGCGCAATCATCGTTTACTGCCCTGGACATTCCTACATGTGTCGGACGAGTGTTCTGTATCGGGTGAAGATATGTGGCGGCGATCCTGATTGGGGTGAACAGATGGAATCGGCGTGCCCTCTCCTCCGGCGAACGTGAGCGTGGCCCTGCTGGGCCCCACCATGGCGCGGGTTTCCTGGCAGCTGCCCGACTCCGACGCTGTCATCGGCTTCACCGTGAAGCAGCAGGTGTGACCCCTCCCCTCGGCTCACCCTCTCACCCGCTCAGCCGCTCGCCCGCTCGCCCGCTCGCCCGCTCGCCCGCTCGCCCGCTCAGCCGCTCGCCCGCTCACCCGCTCAGCCGCTAAGCTGCTCACCCGCTCGCCCGCTCACCCTCTCACCCGCTCGCCCCCTCACCCGCTCAGCCGCTCAGCCGCTCGCCCGCTCGCCCGCTCACCCGCTCACCCCCTTACCCGCTCACCCGCTCACCCGCTCACCCCCTAACCCGCTCACCCGCTCACCCTCTCGCCCGCTCGCCCCCTCGCCCTCTCGCCCTCTCACCCGCTCACCCGCTCACCCGCTCACCCACTCACCCCCTCACCCGCTCACCCTCTCACCCGCTCACCCTCTCACCCCCTCACCCGCTCACCCCCTCGCCCTCTCGCCCTCTCGCCCTCTCGCCCTCTCGCCCCCTCGCCCCCTCGCCCGCTCGCCCGCTCGCCCGCTCGCCCTCTCACCCGCTCACCCCCTCACCCGCTCACCCCCTCACCCCATCACCCGCTCACCCCCTCACCCGCTCACCCGCTCAACCCCTCACCCGCTCACCCGCTCACCCTTTCACCCGCTCACCCCCTCACCCGCTCACCCGCTCACCCGCTCACCCTCTCACCCGTTCACCCGCTCACCCTCTCACCCGCTCACCCGCTCACCCGCTCACCCCCTCACCCTCTCACCCGCTCACCCCCTCACCCCCTCACCCGCTCACCCCCTCACCCGCTCACCCCCTCACCCGCTCACCCTCTCACCCGCTCACCCGCTCACCCGCTCACCCTCTCACCCGCTCACCCCCTCACCCGCTCACCCCCTCACCCGCTCACCCTCTCACCCGCTCACCCGCTCACCCCTCCTCAACCCCACTCACCCCCTCACCCCACCCGCTCACCACCTCTCACCCACGCTCTCACCCGCTCACCCGCTCAACCCTCACCCCTCACACCCTCACCCCTCACCCGCCTCACCCGTCACCCGCTCACCCCCGCACCCCTCAGCCAGCACCCTCACCCTCTCATCTCCGCTCACCCCCCTCACCCGCTCACCCCCTCACCCTGTCACCCCCCGCTCACCCCGCAACCGCTCAGTGGCGCTCACCCCCTCACCCGCTCACGCCGCTCACTCTCTCACCCTCTCACACCTCTCAGTCACCTCTCACACCGCTCACCCGTCACAGGCCTCTCACACCCTCTCACCCGCTCACCCGCTCACCCCTCCTCACCCTCATCACCCCGCTCACCTACCCGCATTCCTCACACGCCGCTCACGCCCCTCACCCCCCTTCACCCCTCTCACCCTCTCAAACCCCCTCACCCCCTCACCCCCTCACCCGCTCACACCTGCTCACCCTCTCGGACCCGCTCACCCCCTCGCCCGCTCACCCGCTCACACCGCTCACCACCGCTCACAACCCGCTCAACCGCTCAGTCGCTCACCCCCCTCACCACCGCTCACTATCCGCTCACTCCGCCTCACCCTCTCACCCGCTCACCCGCTCACCCTCTCACGCCGCTCACCCCGCTCACCCCCGTCACCCGCTCAATCCACCCCTCACCCCTCTCAACCACCCCTCACCCGCGTCACCCCCTCAACCCGCTCAGCACCCCTCACACCGCTCTCACTCAAACCGCTCACCCTCTCACCCGCTCACTACCGCTCACCCCTCACACCCTCACAACCCCCTCACCACAACCGCTCACCCCCTCATCACCCCGCTCACCTCTCACCCCCTCACACCGCTCACCCCCGCACCCGCTCACCCACTCAACCCTCTCGCCCCGATCGCCCGCTCACCGCGCTCACCCGCTCACCCCCTCACCCCCTCACCCTCTCACCTGCTCACCCCCGCGCTCCCTCGCCGCTGCGCCCGCTCACCCCTCGGCCGCTCAGCCGCTCACCCTCTCACCCGCTCACCGCCGCTCACCCTCTCACGCCGCTCACACCCCTCACAACCACACCCCGCACCTCCGCTCACCCGCCTCACCCTCCGCTCACCCTCTCACCCGCTCACCCCCTCACCCTCTCACCCGCTCATCACTCACCCCCACGCCCGCTCACCCCCTCGCCCGCTCACCCCCTCACCCGCTCACCCCCTCACCCGCTCACCCCCTCACCCGCTCACCCCCTCACCCGCTCACCCCCTCACCCGCTCACCCCCACGCCAGCCCATCAAACCGCTCACTCGTCCTTCCCTCCCGCCCTGCCTCTCTCCATCCTCACACTCATCCCTCCGTCTCACCAACAATCCACCCTCCATTCACTCGTTCATTGCAAGGCCACGGATAGATTGATGCATGTCGTGCATGTTGTTTCCCCTACATATGTACGCTGGACTTCTCTTGCACCGTACGTAGCCGACCGTGCTAATCGGAGTTGCGGTGGGATTGACAAACAAACTGATCACATCGAAGACCGGCGTCAGGCTTTTGAAAAGACAGCGGAGCAGCGAACGGGAAGCCTGTGGAGTCGAATGAGGAGAGGCGAAGTAGTGAGAATGAAGGGGGGGGAGCTTGAAGATTACTCGCGCAGAAGAAGCGTTTCGAATTTGTTGGAGGGCAATAGGGCAGAGGTCGCAACCGGGTACCCGATACCCGTACCCTACCCGATACCCGGCTACCCGTACCCGGCCGGGTACGGGTAGCCGTTTTGCGACCCTGGTGCGGCCGGGTACGGGTACGGGTAGGCCGTGAGTCACTGGTGAGTAACTGTTTGTCACTCATTTCCCAACGTCTTGTCTCTTCTCACAATTCAAGTTCCTAGAATCAACCCACCCGCGCCTGCAACATGGCTTCATCCCAGAGGTCGCAATCGGGTACCCGTACCCTACCCGATACCCGGCCGAGTACAGGTAGCCGGGTATCGGGTAGGGTACGGGTACCCGTTTGCGACCCTGTTGCGGCCGGGTACCGGTACGGGTAAGGAATCAAAACCCGTTTGCGACCTCTGGCAATAGGGCAGTGACTCATGCAGCCAGCTATGGCTACAGGGTTTGGTGGTGGTACGTGTTGTTTATGTCGTTTATTGTGAAATTTCGGTCACAGTTCCTATGATCAGTGTTACATTGCGTATGGATTTATTTTGGTGATTTCGAAAAGTTTTTTGGTATGGCCATGTTTGTTTGTTGTAGTGCGGAGTTAAACTAATGGCTTTAATCTAAGTTGTTTTGTGGTTGTTGTTTGACTTTCATCCCACTGGGATTTTTGCAAACAGCGTTGGTTTACGGTGCTTTTTATGCAAGACTTTGCAGTTTTTTCCTGGATTTTTCTGTTTGCGCATAGTCACTTTAAGATGTTTTCTTGTTCACGTTTTAGTTTTTTGTTTGTTGCGGTTGCACCCGATTTAAGAGCCGAATGGCTCACAGGGCTATACCTAATTAATGAAACTGAAACAAAGCAGGTAATTGCAGTGGTCCAGATCACATAATGAGCCGCATGGCCCACAGCATCTTTATTTTTCCCTCGAGAAATCCAATGAGCCATGGATTTTCACACGTGTCCAGTATGGGGGGGGGGGGGGGGGGGGTGAGAAAGTTACATCAACAAACGGGTACAAAAAACACAATAGGAGTGCAAAGAAATCACTGAACCATGAAAACGTAAAATAAATGCATAAATAAATAAATGCGTAAAATAGATCAAGTATATTACGCCTGGCTCTCTCTGTGTCTCCGTGTCGCCATGTGGCCGTGTCACCGTGTCAAGTTCAAGTTCATGTATTAGGTATATAGCCCTGTGAGCCATTCGGCTCTTGAATCGGGTGCAACCGCGACAAACAAAAAACAAAAACATGAACAAGAAAACATCTTAAAGTGACTGAGTGCAAACAGAAAATCCAAGAAAAGACAGCAAAATATTGCAGAAAAAGCACCGTACACCAACGCTGTGTGCAAAAATCCCAGTGGGATGCAAGTCAAACAACAACCACAAGACAACTTAGATTAAGACCATCAGTCTAACTTCGTACTACAACAAACAAACATGGCCAACCCGAAAAACTTTTCGAAAATCACCAAAATAAAGCCATAAAAGCAATGAAACAGTGATCATAGGAACTGTGATCGAATGTTCACAATAAACGACATAAACAACATGTACTACCAAACTCTGCAGCCATAGCCGGCTGCATGAGTCACTCCACAACAGCAGGAACATCAGTGTCGCCGCGTGTCGCCCGCCGTGTCACCGTGTCACCTTGCCATGTCACTGTCTCACCGTGTCACCGTGTCACCGTGTCACCTTGCCATGTCACTGTGTCACCTTGCCATGTCACTGTGTCACCATGCCACCGTGTCCCCTTGCCATGTCACTGTGTCACTGTGTCACCTTGCCATGTCACTTGTGTCACCGTGTCCCCTTGCCATGTCACTGTCTCACCGTGTCACCTTGCCATGTCACTGTCTCACCGTGTCACCTTGCCATGTCACTGTCTCACCGTGTCACCGTCTCACCGTGTCACTGTGTCACCTTGCCATGACACTGTGTCACTGTCTCACCATGTCACCGTGTCACGTGTCAGCGCGTGTCTCCCGCAGAAGCGCCCGGGTGCGCGCCAGCGCTTCATCCTGCACATGGCTCTCGCCCTGTCACTTCGTCTCACCGTGTCACCTTGCCATGTCACTGTCTCACCATGTCACCGTGTCACGTGTCACCGTCTCACCGCGTGCCTCCCGCAGAAGCGCCCGGGTGCGCGCCAGCGCTTCATCACCGAGGTGAACACGACTGCGCGCTCGTGCCTCCTGTGGGGCCTCGAGGGCGCCAGTGACTACGTGGTGGCCGTGCAGGCGCTGGGCCGCGGGGGGGCGGCCAGCGAGCCCAGCCCCGGCCTGCGCTTCAGCACCCCCCCGGAGGGGGACAGCGACGAACAGCGAGACAACAACAACAACTCGTCATCGTCACGATCTTCATCATCATCGTCGTCCTCGTCACCGTCGTCGTCGTCGCTGTCTGTGGCGACGTCGCTTTCGTCGCACGGAGGAGGTGGGTGACCAGGGTATGCGGGAGGAGGTGGTGGTGGTTGTTGTTGTTGATGTTGGGATGTGTGTGTGTGTGTGGTGGTGGTTGTTGTGGTTAATGTTGGGATGTGTGTGAGAGGTGGTGGTGGTTGGGGTTATTGTTGGGATGTGTGTAAGAGGTGGTGATGGTGGTAGTGTTAGTGGTGGTGGTGCTAGTGGTGTGTTGTTGTTATTGTTGAGATGTGTGTGTGAGGTGGTGGTGGTTGTGGTTAATGTTGGGATGTGTGTGAGGTGGTGGTTGTTGTTGTTGTTGTGGGGAGCGGTAGTGTAGCGGTTAGCGCGCTGCGCTATGAACCTGGCGACCCAGGTTCGATTCCCGCTCACGGCTAACACCAGTGACGATTATCTGAACCGGTCCTGGGCCTCCCCTAGGTCGACTCAGCCTTAAATGAGTACCTGGTGCGGTGTGTAAACATCGCCACTAGGGAGACAAAGGCGGTCGGGCGTGGTGCTGGCCACCCACCCCCTTGTGTACCGTTCCGGCCTTCATAGGTGCTCGCTAACAGCACTTGCCCCTACAGTCTGTTCAGGCTATACGGGGGATCTTTGTCTTTGTTGTTGTTGTTAATGTTGGGATGTGTGTGTGTGGTGGTGGTGGTTGTGGTTAATGTTGGGATGTGTGTGTGTGGTGGTGGTGGTTGTGGTTAATGTTGGGATGTGTGTGTGTGGTGGTTGTTGTTGTTGTTAATGTTGGGATGTGTGTGTGTGGTGGTAGTTGTTGTTGTTGTTGCTAATGTTGGGATGTGTGTGTGGTGGTGGTGGTAGTGCGAATGACGAAGGGTGGAGATGATGAGCGATGCTGTTGCTGTTGTAGGTGATGAAAGTGGTGGTGGTGGTGGTGGTGGTGGTTGTTATTGCTGGGATGGTGCATGCGAGGAGGATGACGAGGAGGTGGCGGTCACCTCGTCCCTGGCGTCGCACGGATGAGGTGCGCTGCTACTGCCCACGTGACGTGCCCGCTACCCACCCAGCCCGCTTCGTGTGCCGTGCCGGCCTTCGTATGTGCTGCTGCTGCTACTCGCTTACGCACTGTTCCGAACGAGTCTGTTAAGGCGAAACGGTGGTTCTTTTGTGTTTGTTCCAGAGACTGGATTGGTTGTCGGAGTCAACGCTCACTACTTTGCGAGTGAGGGTGTGCTCACGGTCACAGTCTTCCTCCTCTGGATTGGTGAGGCAATGCAAACGTTTTTGGGATGTGTGTATGGGACGCTTTTTTGGGTTTTTTTAACCGGTATCAAATGAGAATAGGCTTTACCCTGCATGGAAATAAAACGGAAGGTGTGAGATTTTCAAACACCGAATCGATACCTATTGCAAGGCATCATCAAGTCGACATTAACCACACGTACCTGTGGCTAAATATGCAGGTAATGAAATGTACGCATCGTCTTTGAAACCGATTGCCCTTACACGAGAGGCAACCTCCTGCATGGCCTGTTCTCACCGCCGGTGTTCGACAACACCAAATGTCGAAAAGTATAAAGGCACATTTTTGTTTTAATTGTCGCCTAAGGGGTTTCATAATTGCCTGGGTTAGGGACACTGAGCTAAGGTCAAGAGGTTGAGTATTGAAATCCGCGGTGTGTCTCTTTGTCGCCCTCTCTCCCAGGGGCTCATTATCAACTAAAAAGTACGAAACAATTTTTTAAAAGGGAAATAATAAAAATTAAACATAATAAAACAATTCTCACGACGTTTCGGCCACAACGCAAGCAGCCGTCCTCAGGTGAAGACCAGGTCTGTCGGGGAGACAGCGTCTTCAGATGTGAGAATTATTTTATTATGTTTTATTTTTATTATTTTATTATTTCCCTTCTACGTGACTTTACCGAAAGAACCAAGAAGATGAATCCCTGCAGTCGCGAAAGCTTTAAATCGAAATTTTTTAAAATTTTACCAAGTAAGGCCCACTGAGCTGGATAGCTCCTTTGTTTCAGTAGCGACCTGGCCACAAATTATAGCCTAACGAAATTCATAACAGCCAAATAGTCTGAACGCATGTTGATTCTAAATGCGGAGGGAGAAACCGGAGGATCCGGGAAAAAAATATACGCAACTAACGGGGAGAGAGAGACACACACACACGCAAACTCCAAATATACAGCAGCAGTCGTCAGGGTCGGGATTGAACCCACGACCTCCTGCACACCAGGCGATGTAGTTAACATCTCCTAGCCACCGTGATGATGATGAGAGAAAAAGACGCAAACTCCAAATATACAGCAGCAGACGTCAGGGTCGGGATTGAACCCACGACCTCCTGCATGCCAGGCGAGGTAGTTAACATCTCCTAGCCACCGTGATCATGATGAGAGAGAGAGAGACACGCAAACTCCAAATATACAGCAGCAGGCGTCAGGGTCGGGATTGAACCCATGACCTCCTGCATACCAGGCGAGGTAGTTAACATCTCCTAGCCACCGTGATCATGATGAGAGAGAGAGAGACACGCAAACTCCAAATATACAGCAGCAGGCGTCAGGGTCGGGATTGAACCCATGACCTCCTGCATACCAGGCGAGGTAGTTAACATCTCCTAGCCACCGTGATGATGATGAGAGAGAGACGCAAACTCCAAATATCCAGCAGCAGACGTCAGGGTCGGGATTGAACCCACGACCTCCTGCATGCCAGGCGAGGTAGTTAACATCTCCTAGCCACCGTGATGATGATGGGAGAGAGAGACGCAAACTCCAAATATGCAGCAGTCGTCAGGGTCGGGATTGAACCCACGACCTCCTGCATACCAGGCGAGGTAGCTAACATCTCCTAGCCACCGTTATGATGATGAAAGAGAGAGAGACGCAAACTCCAAATATGCAGCAGTCGTCAGGGTCGGGTTTGAACCCACGACCTCCTGCATACCAGGCGAGGTAGTTAACATCTCCTAGCCACCGTGATGATGATGGGAGAGAGAGACGCAAACTCCAAATATGCAGCAGTCGTCAGGGTCGGGTTTGAACCCACGACCTCCTGCATACCAGGCGAGGTAGTTAACATCTCCTAGCCACCGTGATGATGATGGGAGAGAGAGACGCAAACTCCAAATATGCAGCAGTCGTCAGGGTCGGGATTGAACCCACGACCTCCTGCATACCAGGCGAGGTAGTTAACATCTCCTAGCCACCGTGATGATGATGGAAGAGAGAGAGACGCAAACTCCAAATATGCAGCAGTCGTCAGGGTCGGGTTTGAACCCACGACCTCCTGCATACCAGGCGAGGTAGCTAACATCTCATAGCCACCGTGGCACCCTAATGACCATGTCAGAGCTATTGTGAGTGAATTAATGTCTTTGTGTGCGAATCCGATCACCCGAGTTCGATTCCCGTTCACATGAGTGATGATTACCCGAACTGGTCATGGGCCACCCCTAGGTAGATTCAGCCTCAATTGAGTGCCTGGTGCCGGTGTGTAAACATCGCCATTGGGGAGACAAAGGCGGTCGGGCGTGGTGCTGGCCACCCACCCCCTCGTGAACCATGCCGGCCTTCATAGATGCCCCAATAAGTCTGCAGAGGCTATACGGGGGCCTCCCCTGGATCGATTCAGCCTGATGAATGAGCATCTGCTGTGGTTTAGTAACATCAGCGCTAGAGAGACAAAGGCGGCCGGGCGAGAGTAGTCTTCCCCGCCGCCCTCCCCACGTGCACCATTCCGGCCTTCCTTCACCGGCGCTCGCTTACCAGCACTTGCCCCTGACAGTCTGTGCAGGCTACACGGGGGACCTTTGCCTTTAGTGGGTAGTGGTGGTGGTGGTGGTCGTGGCCACGAGACGTAGTAGTCTTTGTGCGTGCGCGTGTGTAGCAGTGATGGTCCTCTGCTTGCGCGAGTACCGAACTATCAAGGACAGCTCCATACTTCACCACGGCGGCATGGTGAAGCCTGCGCTGGGGGAACGGGGGAGCGCCATCCTCCGCAAGCCGGACACCCCCATCGCTACGGCACAGGTAAGATGATGCCATCGCTAGGGTGGTGGTGGTGGTGATGGTGGTGGTGATGGTGGTGGTGCGGGGAAGTGGTAGTGTAGCGGTTAGCGCGCTGTGCTACGAATCCGGCGGTCCAAGTTGATGATGATGGAGATGCTTGTGGTGGTGATGATGGAGATGGTTGTAGTGATGATGATGATGATGGAGATGATTGTGATGATGATGATGGGAGATGGTTGTAGTGATGATGATTGTGGTGATGATGGGAGATGGTTGTAGTGATGATGATGGAGATGGTTGTGGTGATGATGGAGATGATTGTGGTGATGATGATGATTGTGGTGATGATGATGGAGATGGTTGTAGTGATGAGGGTTGTGGTGATGATGGGAGATGGTTGTAGTGATGAGGATTGTGGTGATGATGGGAGATGGTTGTAGTGATGATGATGATGATGATGGTTGTGATGATGGAGATGGTTGTAGTGATGATCATGATGATGGAGATGGTTGTAGTGATGATGATGGAAATGGTTGTGGTGATGATGATGGTTGTAGTGATGATGAGCGTTGTGGTGATGATGATGGAGATGGTTGTAGTGATGATGATGGAGATGGTTGTAGTGATGATGATGGAGATGATTGTGGTGATGTTGATGGTGCTGGTGGTAGTTTTGATAGTCTTGGTATTAGTGATGATGCTGGTTGATGGTGATGATGCTAAGAATTATGGTAATGACGATTGGGGGGGGGGTGATGATGATGATGACGATTAAATATTGATAATTTAACTTTTTCCTTTTACACCCATTTAAAATTGTCAGATTGTGAGATTGCTAAATATTAAATGGTTCTGAGCGTAGCACTGCAGCCACTGTCAAAGTAGAATTAATGAAGTATGAATAATTTATGAACCATTTTAAATTAACGGAAGTCAGCTATGAGTTGTTTAGAGTTTAAATGTCACGTTTTACTAATTTGCGCGTGTGCGTGTGCGCATGCATGTCTGCATGTGTCTGTCTCTGTGCACATGTGCAATGCGTGTTGTGCGTGTATGTGCAAGTACCTGTTTGCATACAAACGTATGTTTGTAAATGCATGCATGTGTCTGTGTGCGTCCGCGCGTGTGTGTACGAGTGTATCTGTATGTACGCGTGTGTATGTGTACATGTGTACCAGTGTGTTTGCGTGTGTGTATGTGTTTTTGTACGTGTATGCTCGTACATGCGTGTGTGCGTGCACGTGTGTGTTCTCGTTGTGAATTCAGCAGCCTCAGAGGAATTCCCATAGCCCCCGCGTTTCGAATGTATGACTCACATCGTACAATCGACCACTCAGCCGGGTGAACTGTGTTCATGCGAAGAGGTGGTTCACAATGGCCATGTCAGACACTTAACGCCAATACAGCCACAAGCGATCATCCATATCATCACCATCATCATGATCATCAGCACTACCACCATTATAATGAGAACCACAACCAACATCATTTTCATCATCATCAACACCATCACAATTCCCATCATCATCGCAACCATCACAATTCCCATCATCATTCTCATCGTCAACATGAGAACGCCCATCGGCAGGATCATCGTCATCATCAAGAGGAAAAGAAAAGGTATAGATTTTTAGAACGTAAAAATATATCAACTCATCCATTCACGATACTGCATAAACTTTATTACATTTTTTCAAATTACATTTTTTATCTAGAATAAAGGTTTTATAAACATTTTTTTTTTGCACGGACGTATTCCGGGATGTGAAATTTATTGCTTGTTTTGAAAGTCAGTGCTACGGACTTTGTGGTGTACCATGATCTTAAACAATAATCTCATACATGGAAATATATAAAACAAACATCGAACGATAATTAAAAATATAATAATTCACAGCCGTCGTCCATCCACTGCTGGATGCCGCGTCGGTCATGAGATTCGTACGACCATACTTCACCGCGCTGGTCAACGCAAGTGTTGACGAAGGCTGCGGGGTATTCGCAGGTGGTGTGGAATCGAACTTAAAAACTTGATCCACCCGGGTGGGAAATAAACACGCGATATAAAATTAGACGCTCAATGTACGACGAGTCCTCGCTTAAACGCGCGGCGGTGTTGACACGGCGCTGTGTTTACGCTACGACGCGGTTCTTCCATTTCGGGAACACTTCGCATGACGCGGAACGCTCGCGCCGTCATGATGCGGAACACGTGCCTGTTATAACGCGGTTTCTGAGTGGTCGACGAACTTCCCTTCTTGATATTCTTGGTTTTTTTTCGGTAAAGTGACGTAGGTAAAAAATGAAAATTAATCAAAGTAAAATAAAAATAAAATAAAAATCACGACTTTTTGGAGGCAACACAAGCTTCCGTCTTCAGGTGGAACCGTCACAGCACGCTTGCTGTATCAAGTGAGAGAAATTCCAAGAACACAGTATTTGTATATATACTGGTTGAGGGTGGGAGGAGCCAAGGTAGACCCTGAATATTGTTTTTGTGAGGTTCGGTGCGGCTGAAGCACGCTGTTAGGAATGAGCCTTTGTTGTGTAAACTATTTTTTTTATTTTACTTTTATTAATTTAATTTTTTTACCTACGTGACTTTACCGAAAAAAACCTAAGAATATGAATCCTTGCAGTCACGAAAGCTTCAAATCTAGAATTAATTCCCTTCTTGAGCTGCGCCGCTGAGCGGTGGTAGCGATAGAGTTCGCGGAATGATGCAGTAACGGTGTTTTGTCCCGCCATCTCACTCGTATCTCGCCAAACTTTATCGTTATGACGTTATTCGTGGGTAAATAGTTTACGCTTAAAACGCATCTACTACGATGACGACTCGCACGTTAAACGAGGACTGCCTGTACTCGGAACTGTTCGCGTTTGACGTCGTAGCTTGCGTGGCACAACGGTGAGAGTGCTCGCCCCTCAACAAGAAGGTCGCGAGTTCAAATCCCGGTCGCAGAATGAAGGAATATATTATTAAATAACGTGAATAATTTTATCACATTTAAGTTAAGTAATATTAATTACAATACTAACAGAATTTTTAATTAATTCCCCCAGAAAAAGCATCGCTGAATCTCACGAGATGGTTTTCAACGGGGCCCTGCCACATTCAGATGTTGGGCTAATTTCACTTAATTAATGGAAAGGAAAAAAAAACACCATTAATTTTTGTGTCACAATAATTAATTAACGTGTTTAAAATTTAGGGAATGGCTCTACCCCCCCTCCCCCCCCCCCCGTTAAGATGCATTTGTGCAGGAAACTCAGAAGTCAATACAAATCTGGTATGGATGTGGTTTTTTGTTTTATTAATTGCTTAAAATGAAATCGCTTAAATGAACACAATCGCGTTGGGGATTGTCGCCTCTTATTAACACAAATTTAGAATAATTATTATAACGTATGAATCATAACGTTTTGACCCGGCTTGGATTTAGGAGTGTAAGCGTGAATGCATACTGGATACGCAGGTACATGCCACGCACAAGGACACGTTCCAGGCTTCAGGCAGGCAGGGTCTCGTCATGGCAACGGGGATTTTTTTTTGTTTAAACATTCTCCACATCCAGGCCATCATGCGCTGTGCCCGACTTGACCTCCCGCTTAACCTGAAACTACAAGCGCATTGCTTCCGCTGTAATTTACGAACAAGTTCACAGTTCTGCTGTAGGTGTCTTTTTTTAGGGGTTTTTTTTTTTTTAAAAACGAGAGATAGGTGTTTGGAAAAAGAAAACACAAACTCTTGGTCGTATCTACAGGAACTTTGCACATCCGCGCGTCAACATCGTTGAATGAACTCCATTTCTTTTTGCGATCCATCAAATTTCCTCAAAACCGCCCAGGGAAACTGTACAAGCTTAAACGGGTTTAAGGGTCGAAGAAGGTCAAAGGTCAAGTTTTGTAAAGAAAATTCAAATGCGTTAGGCAGGAGGTGTGTGTCTGTCTATGTCTGTGTGTGTGTAAGGGTTGCCACTTGAGTTGTGAAAAAATCCCGGGGCAGATCATGTGATGAAGAAGACTTATCTAACGATCGCGAAAGAGGAGAGAGCTCCCTGTAAACGCGTCGTCTTGAGTGGTGGATCATCATCATCATCACGACGACGACGACGACGACTACATAGTGGACCAAAAACTGGGACTTTAAATGTCACACTCACTCACTCGCCCGACTCACCCACTCTTACTCATCCACTCTTACTCGCCTCTCAAATTACCCATTCGTCCATCTACTCATCCGCTGACTCACGCACTGACCCACCCACTAACTCACCCATCCGCTGACTCACCCAACCCACTGACCCACCCATTCACTCACTCATCCGCTGACTCACCCAACCCACTGACCCACACACTCACTCACCCATGCAATGACCCACGCACCCACTCACCCATCCGCTGACCCACCCAACCCACTTACCCACCCACTCACTCACCTATGCACTGACCCACGCACCCACTCACCCAACCCACTGACCCACCCACTCACTCACCCATGCACTGACCCACCCACCCACTCACCTATCCACTACATGTGAACTCATTGTCTCGAGTGCTGCATCATCATCATCATCGTCACGATTGCTATTCATTACGCCACTGACAAACACCGGGACTGGTAATGTGCCGGGAAGACTTGGAGATGTCCCAGGATCAGCAGCGGCCTCACTCGACAAAGAGGGAAGCTCCCTGGTGAACACCAGGGCGGGTGGCAACCCTGCCGTGCATGTGTGCGTGCGTACTTCCAGGATTGTTGTACACAATGGTTAAATACTTTTTTCAGTTCAAGTCAAATATGCATTTGGCCGTCTTTTTTTTTTCCGCCCCTCTTCTCAACAATGCAGGATAATTGTGCATGCGTGTGTTTTATATACATACAGAGCGTAGAGGCCCCCCCATCAATAGTCTTCCCCTTGCGTGAGCATGGCTCTCGGGATCCAGCGTAAAATGTCCCGAGCGGGGGTTGGATCCCGCTTAATGCCGAGGCATTATTGCTGCGGCTGTGATCATCACCACCACTGGATTGAAACTTGAACACGACTACCCCCACGTTTATCCACTGCCACGTGTCCAAGCCAGCCCCGGGGCCATCGTGAAACGTGTGGTTTTTCCATTGGGCCTGGTTTGCCGAGCCGAGCACAGAAACCAATTGGCTATACCGCTGCTGGCCTCATGAGCAGACTTCTGAAACTGGCACCAGGTGGGCGAGGGAGGGGGGCGGAGCCAAGCAGGGGCGGGGCTAACGACGCGTCTGTTGCGTGTGACGTCACTCGGGGAAACACTGCGATGGTGCAGCGTCATGGCACGGCGAGTGACGTAGGCAGGGGGGGGGGGGGAAGAACGTGGTGCCTACCGGGCCAGCCCGGCATGGCCCCGGCACGGCCACCTAGCACTGGTCAGCTGTGCAGTGGAAAAAAAAAAAGAGGTAGGGAATTCGGAGCAGCCCATGAAACGGAAATCGTCCCAGAGAGTTTAGGCCGCCTCCTCAACTTGGCAGCCAACTTTGGGCTGTCAGGTTGATCAGCCCTTGGGTAGATCCACTGCTAAAACGAAGGCCCTTCGAAGTCCATCTCAGGTCATAACCATACCACCTCATCCCATCTCAAACGATTCTAAGGGCACCCCCGGCGGCAGCTGTCCCTGTTTGGCGCAAGGCGACTTCGGCGCCCGGCCTGCGAGTGGGCTATTACGTCCGCCGGTAAGTGCGGGGCGTGGAGATCGGTCGCCGTGCTGCGATCGCGTTCCAAATTGTTTCGTGGTATAATTTTTTACAAATTTATCAAACGCCGACCGCGACGCCGACACGCGGTGGCCTCCTCGTGTCGCGACGACGACGTCCGGGGGGACCGTTAGCGTCCGCTGCCACGCGGACGGCACGTGCACGTCACGCGGTTAACTTGCGTGCGCTACACGGTCGACCGAGGCGGGGGCGCACCGGATTCGAAACTGCGAATTCTCTGCCACGAGCAGGAAAATGCACCACCTGCTGGGCCCAGGTGTGGCGGACGAGACGAGAAAAACAACGTGTCCAGCTTTCTGGGCGGGTCGCGATCACGGACCAGCCCTGCGAAAGTAAAACATCCACCCACACCCCCCTCCCCCCCCCCCCCATTAATTAAGCGATATTCATTACGCTCGTACGGCAGAGTCACGGAAGTGCCCTCCACCCACCACTCCACCACTACTGTCCACGTGGGCGGAACAGACGTCACTTTCAAAAGCTCTCAGAGGTAATTCTGCAATGTCCGCTTCAGCGGATTCCATTCTCTAACAACACGGATTTGGGGGAGGGAGGGAGGGAGGGAGGGAGGGAGGGAGGGGGGAGAACAACAGGAAGGCAGGGGCGGCGATCACACCCCGCTGCAAGATTTCCCGAACGGATTCCGCGTCTCAGCGCGGACGGCGCGACGTGCGGCAATCGTGGGTCGAAAGGTGAACGATCAAATTAATTACGGGAAAGGAAGCGTCGACGATCACGAATCCACAGCTCTCCTGGCGCGCTCTCTCGCTGTCTCTCGCTCCCCTCGGGTGTCGCGTTGCCTGGCTCGCGGGGATCTCTCTCTCTCCCCCAGAGGAGGTCATACTTCAATGATGTTGATCGTTGGCGTCTTCGTGTACTGCGCACGGGACACGGAGACAAACGCCGGCACGGTCAGCGACGCGCGACGTACGTAAAGACCGATGGAATGAAAAATCACCATCAGCTGCTTTCAACGATACAAGTCCTCTCCAAGCCACCGCCGCCACCAGGCTGAGACTATGAGACTCACTCCGCTTGAGAACCCGGCCTAATCACAGGTGACTGAACCCCGGGGTTCGAACCCAGGGTTCTCAGTGGTGCGTGCCGGTTCAGTGATGTAAAAGACGCCCAGGCCCGGAACTCAAACCCCTGTAGTTCAAAGATTTCTGGCGCAGAATGTTAAGAGGCACCCAGACCCAAGGCTTGAACCAGAGGTCGCAAACGGGTTTTGATTCCCTACCCGTACCCGTACCCGGCCGCACCAGGGTCGCAAATGGGTACCCGTACCGGTACCCGGCCGGGTACGGGTACCCGTTCTCTACCCGTACCCTACCCGAAATGAGTGACAAATGGTGACTCACCAGTGACTCACGGCCTACCCGTACCCGTACCCGGCCGCACCAGGGTCGCAAACGGCTACCCGTACCCGGCCGGGTATCGGGTAGGGTACGGGTATCGGGTACCCGGTTGCGACCTCTGGCTTGAACCCAAGATCTCGGAGATTCCTGGTTTTGTATACAGAGGGATACCCATGGCTCAGACAAATATCATCATAGATTATGAGTTCAGCGTCTTGATAGGAGACCGATTACCCTGGCCCTCCATATGTTGCCAAATCAAGTGGAGCCGATATTTGTATTTACAATTCTTACTACATGTTTGGGTGAGACCGCTCTGGGCACATCTGTGCAGTAAGCCCCTCCACCACGCAACGCAGCAAACTGACCGGGTAATTCTGAGCCGATATAATAGTACAATGCGTGGCAACTTCGTTTGTTTGGCCTGGCTGGGGTGGTGGAGGGATCTACACGACACCAATGTATTTGGTCAGATTGTTACGTGGCCTAAACAAAACAAAATGATAGAAAATAATAAAATAATAAAAATAAAACATAATACAATAATTCTCACGACGTTTCGGCCACAACGCAAGCAGCCGTCCTCAGGCGGAGAGCAGGTCTGTCGGGGAGACAGCGTCTGAAGTCATTCAGAATTATTTTATTAAGTTTTATTTCTTTTATTTTATTATTTCCATTCTCCGTGACTTTACCGAAAGAACCAAGAAGATGAATCCCTGCAGTCACGAAAGCTTTAAATCGAAAAAAAAAATGATAATTACGAATCGTGCTACAGTAATAATACCTGGAGGTACGTTTCCGCCTTAATAGCGTCGTTTCTCATATACGTCGTCTGCTGCTACACTCACGTCGCTGACATCATCATCCATCCTTTCCCGTATCCGTCGCCTCTCAACCTTCACCTCCAACACCAAATGTTGACACTCCGACTGATGCTCCTGCTGCTGTTGTGGAGTGACTCATGCAGCCAGCTATGGCTGCAGAGTTTGGTAGTACATGTTGTTGACGTCGTTAATTGTGAAAATTCGGTCACAGTTCCTATGATCACTGTTTCATTGCTTTCATGGCTTTATTTTGGTGATTTTTGAAAAGTTTTTCGGTTTGGCCATGTTTGTTTGTTGTAGTACAGGGTTAGACTGATGGCCTTAATCTAAGTTGTCTTGTGGTTGTTGTTGTTTGACTTGCATCCCACTGGGATTTTTGCACACAGTGTTGGTGTACGGTGCTTTTTCTGCAATATTTTGCTGTCTTTTCTTGAAATTTCTGTTTGCACTTAGTCACATATTCACTTTAAGATGTTTTTTTGTTGATGTTTTTGTTTTTTGTTTGTTGCGGTTGCACCCGATTCAAGAGCCGAATGGCTCACAAGGCTATACCTAATCAATGAAACTTGAAACTTGAAACCACTGTACTACGCCATAAATCGTTTGTGATTTACGTCGTTTCGATATTCACCTCCCATTAGCGCGTTGCGAGAGTTCAACATACACACATCAACATACACATATCAACATACACACATCAACATACACACATCAACATACACACATCAACGTACACACATCAACATACACACATCAACATACACACATCAACATACACACATCAACATACACACATTCATCTTTGCACCTTTCAGGAATGCATCCCCAGCCTAAACCGAACCGACAGCGACAACATGTGCATCAACATATGCATTTTAACCTTCCGATAAGAACGATATATTTTTGCTCCTAAATACATTTATGAAAGCGCCTTCCTACAAGAAAGGAATTCGAAGCCCTGGATGGCAAAAATAAACGACCCAAAAACAAACGTGACCCCCCCCCCCCCACCAACGTGCATTCAAATCATTACACCGACACCGCTAATTACTAATTAAGACGGTCCCCACCTCGGTGACGTTCGTCATTAACGCCCAGATTTGTTGGTGGGGGCGGCAGGGGGAGAGAGATTGGGGGGCAGAGGGCCACTGATCCATCGACAATACGGCACATCGACAATACGACACATCGACAATACGGCACATCGACAATACGGCACATCGACAATACGGCACATCGACAATACGGCACATCGACAATACGGCACATCGACAATACGGCACATCGACAATACGGACATCGACACTACGGCACATCGGACAATACGGCACATCGACAATACTGGCACATCGACAATACGGCACATCGACAATACGGCACCATCGACCAATACGGCACATCGACAATAAGGCAACGGCACATCGACAATACGGCACATCGACAATACGGCACATCGACATACGGCACATCGACAATACGGCACATCGACAATACGGCACATCGACAATACGGCACATCGACAATACGGCACATCGACAATACGGCACATCGACATACGGCACATCGACAATACGCACATCGACAATACGGCACATCGACAATACGGCACATCGACAATACGGCACATCGACAATACGGCACATCGACAATACGGCACATCGACAATACGGCACATCGACAATACGGCACATCGACAATACGGCACATCGACAATACGGCACATCGACAATACGGCACCATCGACAATACGGCACATCGACAATACGGCACATCGACAATACGGCACATCGACAATACGGCACATCGACAATACGGCACATCGACAATACGGCACATCGACAATACGGCACATCGACAATACGGCACATCGACAATACGGCACATCGACAATACGGCACATCGACAATACGGCACATCGACAATACGGCACATCGACAATACGGCACCGACAATACGGCACATCGACAATACGGCACATCGACAATACGGCACATCGACAATACGGCACATCGACAATACGGCACATCGACAATACGGCACATCGACAATACGGCACATCGACAATACGGCACATCGACAATACGGCACATCGCATACGGCACATCGACAATACGGCACATCGACAATACGGCACATCGACAATACGGCACATCGACAATACGGCACATCGACAATACGGCACATCGACAATACGGCACATCGACAATACGGCACATCGACAATACGGCACATCGACAATACGGCACATCGACAATACGGCACATCGACAATACACGGCACTCGACAATACGGCACATCTGACAATACGGCACATCGACAATACGGCACATCGACAATACGGCACAATCGACAATACGGCACATCGACAATACGGCACATCGACAATACGGCACATCGACAATACGGCACATCGACAATACGGCACATCGACAATACGGCACATCGACAATACGGCACATCGACATACGGCACATCGACAATACGGCACATCGACAATACGGCACATCGACAATACGCACATCGACATACGCACATCGACAATACTGCACATCGACAATACGGCACATCGACAATACGGCACATCGACAATACGGCACATCGACAATACGGCACATCGACAATACGGCACATCGACAATACGGCACATCGACAATACGGCACATCGACATACGGCACATCGACAATACGGCACATCGACAATACGGCACTCGACAATACGGCACATCGACAATACGTGCACATCGACAATACGGCACATCGACAATACGGCACATCGACAATAAGTACGGCACTCGACAATACGGCACATCGACATACGGCACATCGACAATACGGACACATCGACAATACGGCACATCGACAATACGGCACATCGACAATACGACACATCGACAATACGGCACTCGACCAATACGGCACATCGACAATACGGCACATCGACAATACGACACATCGACAATACGGCACATCGACAATACGGACACATCGACAATACGACACATCGACAATACGGCACATCGGACCAATACGGCACATCGACAATACGACACATCGACAATACGGCACATCGACAATACGGCACATCGACAATACGGCACATCGAACAATACGGCACATCGACAATACGGACACATCGACAATACGGCACATTCGACATACGGCACAATAGACAATACGGCACATAGACAATACGGCACATCGACAATACGGCACAATCGACAATACGGCACATCGACAATACGGCAACATCGACAATACGGACACATCGACAATACGGCACATCGACAATACGGCACATCGACAATACGGCACATCGACAATACGGCACATCGACAATACGACACATCGACAATACGGCACATCGACAATACGGCACATCGACAATACGACACATCGACAATACGACACATCGACAATACGGCACATCGACAATACGGCACATCGACAATACGGCACATCGACAATACGGCACATCGACAATACGGCACATCGACAATACGGCACATCGACAATACGGCACATCGACAATACGGCACATCGACAATACGGCACATCGACAATACGGCACATCGACAATACGCCACATCGACAATACGGCACATCGACAATACGACACATCGACAATACGGCACATCGACAATACGGCACATCGACAATACGACACATCGACAATACGGCACATCGACAATACGGCA